GGTATAAACAAGAAAGAATTACAGGGATAAACAGGAGCGAATAACAAATATATAGAAGCGATTATTCACAAGTATACATAGGTAAAAATATTTCATACAGGAGAGAATTAGTTATGTAAACAAGGGATAATTGCAGGTACATAGAGGAGGCAAATACGATTATAAATAGACAAGACAAGAAGATTACTTTCAACTAAATGCAGGGGATATTATTTCAAGATATACGCAGGAGGAAATTACACGTATGTTAAAGAGAGCAAAAGAAAATTATCTTCAGCTACATACAGATATATACAGGTACAAGTTTCCACGTATAATTTCGTTTTAATTATACATTTTAATAAGTTCGTATTAATTAAGTTTCCCCACAGTGCGGTGACGGTACGAAGTCTAGCACTCGTAGGTAGTGACACCTAGCGGATGCCTGCCAGCTGTTGACTTGAACACACACTGACTAGATCATCATCAGGCTTCGTTCTCTTTCCTTTGTGTGAACCCCACGTAGCAACCGTTCAATGAGGAGCAGCTTCGGAACGCACTGCGCACGCCCCCATACGCACGAAGAGCGGTACTCGTCGATATTCTTGTCTAGAACTACCATTACGTACCTATAGGTGGCGCAGCGCTCGCTGCATTCGTACGCGTGTGTGACGCCAAACTGCATGCAGTGCCCCTTCGTACACTCAGGATACCACTCAAACTCCACGACAGATGGCGCTCTCGCTCATGGGCTCAATCTACCACTGCCACAAGCAGATTTTCGGTTACAATTTGTAACGCTTTTTTACCACAAGTTTTACAGCGGCCAAGTTACTCGTATCCTATGTAATAAGATTTGTACTAATAAAAGTTGCAAAGAAATTAAAAATCCGACCATCATTTTATGAGAAATTTGATAAAATAGTGATACGAAATAGTGCGCGTATTGTGCACCCATTTACTACTTTCAAATCATTACACTGTTTACTAAACTAAGTTCACGGGTTTATTTAATATTTATCATGAATTTTTTGGATGCTTGCCAATATAGCTAATTCTCGAACATTGTCTTTGATGCATTTTTGCGTATTCAGCTTAAAACATCTAAATTTGTCCACCAACAAACATGCAAATCATAGAAATTTCGAATGTTTTGTTCGGCGGCGACTTCGCGGCCGTTGGATTGCCATTTGCTGGATTTCCCCGGAGCTCCACCCACTTTAAAAATAGTGCTAGTATTGTGGCAGTGGTATCCTGAGTGTACGAAGGGGGCGCTGCATGCAGTTTGGATACCACTGCCACAATGCTAGCACTATTTTTAAAGTGGGCGGAGCTCCGGGGAAATCCAGCGAATGGAGATTCGTAAACAGCGTATGATTTGAAAGGTAAATGGGCGCACAATCCGCGTACTATTTCGTATCACTATTTTATCAAATTTTTCATGAAATAACGGTCAACTTTGCAACTTTTATAAGTCCAAATCTTATTACATAAGATACGAGTAACGTGGCTGCTGTAAAACTTGTAGTAAAAAAGCATTACAAATTGTAACGGAAATCTACTTGTGGCAGTGGTGAATTGAGCAAGAGCGAGAGCGCCATCGGTCGTCGAGTTTGGTGTGACGCCTGCCTGTTCTCTTGTCGAACCCTCGAATAGTCGGATCAAGTATCCATGGCAACGGGAGTATTTTTTGGCTCATCTTTCGCGTACCATGTTGCTGCGGGTAGTTCGCGAATTCGCCGCAGTACGACGCACGTACTAGCGACGGTGCTGCCAATTTAATGTGGTACGGCGCGGATGTGGTGAATTTACGAAGTTGTGTTCGAAATCTACAACCCGTAGTGCTCGCGGAAGTATGCGGAAGGGGACGCGTCACTCGTTACGTGGATACTTGGTCGTATTTATTTACGTAGACGAGTCTTAACTTTTGCACCTTACCAATATAATACCAGATAATAATGCCAGCCACCATAACATCGTCCGATGAGGGTGTGTCCGTGTAATTTCTACTGCGGAACACACGAATCGTAAGCTGACGACTCTACATGGCCCTTACGGATGTCATAGAGAATGCCACTTAGCCTTAAGTAATTATCTAATGTTGTAGGGGAGGGGGTAACGTGGGGGTCATGTTTGAGGTGCAAAAGCTAGGAGCCGAATCCTATGTGACCTGTAGTAGCATGTGCCTGTGTTTGTGCGTGTGTTTGTTTGTGTGTCTGTGTGTGTACCAATCTTTCCGTCACCCCATTGCAGACTAGCACCGTGTTTTGCACACCGACTCCATACTTGTATGTGTTCTCACTTAGAACCAGTTTACGTGTATTAATCTTGATTCTAATTCTAACCTAGACGTGCACTTATGAGCTGCGAGGATGTACAGCAAGCACTATGCTGCGTGTGCGTTTGTGTGGGTTTATACGATTCTAGATGTGTCTCGTATTTGTTTTACGTGTGATATTCACTGTCTCGGGTATCTATTCGGTAGTATTACGTATTTGTATTGAACTCGTGTCGTGTGCGTGTGCGCGCTTACATTGCTCTGCTAGACGCATCTACTGGCGCCATCTACCGGGAACGAAGAAAAAATTTTAAGCGGTGGAATCGCATTGCTATTAGTGCGTGACGCGCACGTGACTCTTGTGTTAGCGACATTTTTTTGCAGTTGTAAGAGCTTATCGTCGATGTGTTAATTTTATTATACGATATAAACACACGGTTGTGTTTAACCTGGGGTAAAACTTAGGTGTATCGATTTTTTTAAATACGCATCATGGGCCAATAGCGAATAATGCACTGCCTCGTGAAATTCTACACCCTCTCCCAGTTCATTTATATAGTTTTTCCCGTTTCGCTATTATACAACCGGATTATTATTTTTGCCTCGTGACGCGCTACAGCACCAGCGCTTCCAACGGCAATCGTTGGAACTATTTGTTGTCATTGCATCATGAATAGCAGTAGTGAAGGCAGTTGGTTATTGTTAGAAAGGGGAACACATCTTTCTGACAACGCCTTCTGCCGCTGACATCTGTATCTGGGGGGAAGGTCCGTTGTCAGTGACATCATAAGTTATTTAACGTCACGAGTTTAAAATGTCGTCAATTTCGTAATGAAGTGTCGCGCAAAAGTTTAGACGCCATTTTAGATTCATGATGTTCATAAGTATTTATACGATGCCTTTGATAATGGGCCTCCTGTCAGTGTATAGATGATTGATTCGCGTTGTGGTCATCAATGCGTTGCAAAAGAGCTTGATATCGATGTGTGATGTGTGTAGTAAGTGACTATACACGTAACGTAACTGAAACATCAGCGATAGTATCAATAATATCAACGATAATCGATATAATCGATAACAATATAATAGTAGCGATAATATCGATAACAATATAATAGTAGCGATAATATCGATAAAGCTCGCACGCATGACGGACGTGCCGTGTGTGCGTGTGCGTGTGAGCGTGCGTGCGTGCGTGCGTGTGCGTGCGTGCGTGCGTGTGTGCTCGCTCGTGTGTGTGTATGTGCGTGCGTGCGTGCGTGCGTGCGTGCGTGCGTGCGTGCGTTCGTGCGTGCGTGCGTCTGCGTGCATGCATACGTCCGTCCGTACGTGCGTGCGTGCGTGCGCGCGTGCGCAGTCTCTGTGACGTGAATCACGGTGCCAGGGGAGCACCGACAGACACGCACGCAGTCCATCCCTTACACTAGAAGCGTGACCTTATACACACATACACACTAGAGTGAGATCGTATACACGCGATACGTTCCACGAGCCGCCATGTTGTCGCTCGGCAGACGACAATCGACAGACGACAATCGACAGACGACAATCGACAGTTTTCAGTTCGGTTACGTCACTACGCTTCGCGCAAACGTGTCTTCTTTTACGTCGAAAGTGATACACCTAGTATTCGTATATATTATTCGACATGCGTATATGGTAAATCCTGCGTGTGCCTAAAAATGACGTCGTGCTGGTTATATGACAACCCACGGTGGTCACCGCAGACTGATCTCCAACAAGCGCGCATTAAACGCTTATTAGTGTTCACGGGTTTCTTGGCGTAGTCCTTTTAAATAGACGAGGTGAGATTCTTGCGAGCAAATTAACAGAAATGCACCGGACGGGTCTATCTAGATCAGAAGTAGATAATAGGCCCTATTATCTACTTCTGATATAGATTGTACACATACCAGGTGTATCTTTATTCTACACGCGGCCACGCCCTTGTGTATTGAATGCCGCGTGCTACAGAGCCGAGGCGATCTCGTCACGCGTGAAACATGGCGGCCATATAGCATCGTATATACCACCCCCCTCATCGTATACACCACCCCCCTCATCGTATACATCCCCCCTCATCATATATACACCCCCCCCTCATTGTATACATTTCCTCTCATCGTATACATCCCCCCTCATCATATACATCCCCCCTCATTATATACATTCCCCCTCATCATATACACCCCCCCCCTTCATCGTATACACCACTCCCCTCATCGTATACATCCCCCCTCATCGTATACATCCCCCCTCATCGTATACATCCCCCTCATCGTATACACCCTTCCTCCCTCACGGTATACACCCCCTTTCCTCTAGATTGCGCATAGGCGATAACGGTTAACCCTCCATGCCCCTCCACGCCCTGCAAGACAAATCCCAACGCGCAATATAGATAAATAGAGGGGAAAGGTTTACGATAAGGGGGGATTCATACCACGGTAATTCCATATTCCCATGCGCAATATAAAAAGAGGGGGAAGGTTTACCATGAGGCGGGATGCATACCACGGCACTTCCATATTCCCATGCGCAATATAGAGAAAGGGGGAAGGTTTACCATAAGGCGGGATGCATACCACGGTACTTCCATATTCCCATGCGCAATATAGAGAAAGGGGGAAGGTTTACCATAAGGGGGAGGGGGTATGCAATATGCATACGACGCTACGCCCGCCGTGATGGGCCGTCGCTGCGTGCTGTGTGGCGCGCTATAACGCTGCCGCCTGTGTTTAAGCTTGGCGGAGAGAAGGAGAGCGGAGTGCCGGACGTGCCCGCTCCCGTCGCTGATGAGTCATCGGACAGAGGTCCCATCATCCCCGTACCGAAGGGCATCCGACCTGTGCTGAGCAAGCATCGCATAGAGGTGAGAGGGCGCGTGCTTGCGTGCGTGCGTGCGTGCGTGCGTGCGTGCGAGCGTGCGAGCGTGCGTGCGTGCGTGCGAGCGTGCGAGCGTGCGTGCGTGCGTGCGTGCGTGCGTGCGTGCGAGCGTGCGTGCGTGCGAGCGTGCGTGCGTGCGTGCGTGCGTGCGTGGGCGGGTCCACGTACATAGACGCGATACATGATGTAGTATATAGCATGTATAGTATAGTAGAACAACGCCGGGTATCCCGCTAGTATAGATATATTCTACATATATTTTATACATGTTTGCAGATATTGTTCTGGGGTCTGCGTGATCTGAAGCGTGTACAGTTCATGTCCGTGGAGAGCCCGCGCGTCGACATAGAGTGTGCGGGGCACGTGCTGCAATCGGCTCTCATCAGCGACCTGAAGAAGAATCCGAATTTCCCCGTGCCTGTCAAGTACATGGATGTCGTAAGTTCCTAACATCCCCCTCGGGCGTCAGTGTCGTAAGTTCCCAAAATCCCTCGCGGGAATCAATGTCGTAACTCGTAAGTTTCAAATACCCCTCCCCCTCCCCGCGGTCGTCCTCTTCGTAAGTTCGCAACATTCCCCGCGGGTGTTAATTTCCAACATCCCTCATGTAAGACTCTTATCCAATCTCTCCTGGCATGTAAGGAGAGATTTACTCCTGGCATGTAAGCATGGATTTCGAGCAACTGGAAGCGATCGGCAGCGACTAGTTGCGTCCAGTTGCCCACTGTTCTATTCCGAGCAACTAGTGGCGGCCAGTCGCAGGCAGTCGCGTCGCAGTCGACCGACTTAAGCACTGCAGTCGCAGTGAATTGCAGCCAGTTGCTTCCAGTCGAGTCGGCTCGCAAGCCCGACATAAGCCCCCCTTAAGACTTATCCAATCTTTGAGCAACCGAAATTTATCCAGCATATATATATAATACTTATCCGGACTTTGATCAAACTGCTATCCGGCGCCGAAAGCTCACAAACCATCACATGAAAGTTATCCGGCGCGTAAGACTCGTCCGGCTTCTGAACAACAGAAGTTATCGGGCACATATAATATACTTATCCGGCTTAAGAGCAACCGAAGCTACCCGGCCTACAAAGTTCACACGCCTGGATAGATGTGTCTTCCGGCAAGTAGGCCTAATACTTATCCGACCTTCGAAAACCCGAAGTTATCCAGCATGTAACACTTATCCGACCTCTAAACAACCGCCATTATCCGGCATGTCAAGCTGTGTGCACATTACCGACTTTATCTTGTCAAATTGGCGAATTGGACCAACTTCGCAACTATACAACCGACAATCGGCAGTGTAAACGCAAAAGTCGCGCGAACAACTGGTCGATAGCAACTAGTTGGGAGATTAGAACATGATCTATTTACGCCAACTCGGTGTTGCCGGCTTGCGAAATTGCTCCAACTCGCGAATTTGACAGCATAAAGTCGGCAGTGTAAACCCAGCTTCTCCCTCTTCGGCTCTCCTGCCACTGCCTTTCATCAACCCCCCCCCCTCCGTTGCCGCATTGCAGGACCTTCCGGACAACGAGCTCTACTGTCCACCGCTGACCATCCGCGTCGTCGACTGCCGTAGCTTCGGCCGCTACATTCTGGTCGGCACGCACGTCATCAACTCGATGCACAAGTTTATGTACATACCGACGACGAAGACGACCAAACAGGCGATCAAGAAGATGTTCGGTAAAGGTACGCGCGTTGCTATAGCGACGGTTCTGCACGGTGGTGAGCGTAGAAATCATATCAGGAGTGAATAATAATAGATTTATAATATTATGATTCACTCCTGATAATATGATATAATAATTGCATAAGTATATTAGAAATTGTATTAAAAGTTTGAGAGCGATTCGAGGCAGCAGGCGATCGCTGTGTTTAGTCAATGTATACACTAGTCTCTCGCGGTATTGTGCCATAGTTCGGTAGGGGCGCTAGCGTCGCTCGCTGGAGTCAATTTTATTGGGCTATCAGCATTCTAGTGTCTGTATATATTTCTATGGTGGAATGCGAACCAACGCGTGCGTGTGTCAGAAGACAGGGCCGTAGTTAGCTCGGGGCACGGTGTATGTAGGACGGGAGGGGCAAGGGGGCAGCTGCTTCTCCCAGACCGATGTTGATACATGGAGCCCGTATTCAGAAATAGGGATAGAGAAGAGGGGGAGGGAGTCGAGAGAGGAAGAGGAATGGAACCAAGGGAGCGAGGGAGACAATGGTTTGAGAAAAGAGAGCACAAGTATAAACTTAAGGAGAAATTAGAATAAGTTATACATGCTCTCGTGTATCTATCAGCCCGTTACTAGTATAGTTATAGCTATAGTATAGCAGTATCATTATATAAGTATTCCTTATAGTATAGTATAGTATATATGTTTGTATAGTAGTACATATAGCACAGCAGTACATATACGCCTCGCCCCTTTAACGCGCTTTCTCGCTACGACAATACATTATGCATCATACATATATAAGCCTGTTAACAGCTATAGTGTAGCAGTACAACTGCGCCATGCCACTCTCTCTCTCTCTCTCTCTCTCTCTCTCTCTCTCTCTCTCTCTCTCTCTCGCGCGCGCGCGCGCTACGACAATACATCATGCATCATACATATATAAGTCTGTTAACAGCTATAGTATAGCAGTACAAATACACCTCGTTCCTTTAACTCGTTACTTCGCTGCGACAGATGTCGACCAGCAGCAAACGCTGTCGACGCCAGCAGACGGCTTCGCCATCACCATTGACAACGAAGACAAAGCGCCGCTGTTGCCACGGCCACGGCCAGGCGATGACAGCGCCATCGTCACGATCAACACAGCTGTAAGTCTCACCGACCACACCTCACCGCACCTTACCTTACCTTACCTTACCTTACCTTACCTTACCTTACCTTACCTTACCTTACCTTACCTTGCGTTACCTTACGTTACCTTGCCTTAGCTTACTTGACCTTACCTTAGCTTACCTTACCTTACCTTACCTTACCTTACCTTACCTTACCTTACCTTACCTTACCTTACCTTAACCTACCTTAGCTTAGCTTACCTTACCTTGCGTTACCTTACCTTACCCTACCTTAGCTTAGCTTACCTTACCTTGCGTTACTTTATCCTACCTTAGCTTAGCTTACCTTACCTTGCCGTACCTTGCGTTACCTTACGTTACCTTGCCTTAGCTTACCTTAGCTAACGTTACCTTGCCTTAGCTTACCTTTACTTAGCTTACCTTAGCTTACCTGCACTTAGCTTACCTTACCCTACCGTACTTTACCTTACCTGTCAGCGTATATAAAACCGTGCACCTCATGTAAGCTGTTGCATCACGTTGTTAATACGAGGCTAGGCGTTTAGCGTCTTACCTTGCACGCAGGTGTAGTAGCTAATTAACATGCAATTAGTGTCTAATTAACACTGCTCTCTCCCTCACCTACACAGCCGCGTGGATATCGCCCGTGCTTCATGCTTAGCCTGTAGATAAATAACAATAATAATAATTAATAATTATTTCGAGTTATTATTCCTTTTTGTAGCTCATACCAGACAGGGGTCGCCACTACAATATATATATAATATGTGGTTAGATTGTCATTCTCCTGGGTGGACTCATTCTTGTCACTCACCAGTGTAATTATTTTGTGCGCAAACGTGCCAACGTGATCAATCGATGGATGCATGATGATCATGTTCACACATACGTGTCCTTGTAGCAAGCAGCATCCATAGACACCATCTCTCACGAAGCACGCCTACCACCGTACTTACTACTAGCCTTAGACTACTACACCGTACTAGTATTACTACTACACTGTACTAGTATTACTACTACACCGTACTACTAGCATTTGCACAGAGCACTACGTGTATCACAACAGCCGTGTCGCACGTCTGTGTTGTCGTTGTCCATATATATATATATATATATATATATATACGCCATTGTTTTCATTATTACCAGCAGAGTAAAACGGTCACTTGCACACAGCAGCATACTTGAAGATGCCCTCCCATGAACTTTGTACCGATTATCGTTGCTGTAGAGTAGTAGTTATAGCGTACCATGTGCCACGCGATCGTGTATATATATATATAGTGAGTAGATATAATAGCGCGTAGGATGATCCAGCTTGCACGCTAGGGAATGAAAACTTAGTTCTGAATATGCCGCACATCTATTTTATCTAGTTCATCGTTGTACCAAAGAAGTAATCGTTTTTGTAGCTATCGTTTTCGTTGTAGCAATCTAAGAATAAACACGATGTACTTGGGTCAGACTAGCCTTGATAATATTCGAAAGAGTGAGCGCATAGCCGAATCGTAACAGCAATTCATAGATCATCAGATTATCAGATGCACGTCCCATGTAGTTAACGTCAAAGCTTACGGGATAAGACTTTCTGCAAACCCTCGTTTGGATGAATTGCTATAACGCGTGGTTGCAGAGAGAAAGGGAGGCTGGTTGCTTACCCACAATAATTCTCTTAAGGCCCCCGCACATAGTACGAATTCAGCGCGCGCCAACGGCGCTGAGCTTAACGCGCGCGCCATTTGCGCACGTAAACCAGCCTGCACACGGTGCGCATTTGGCGCAGCGGCGTTGGTGCGCGCCGAATACGCACCGTGTGCTGGAGGCCTTTAGTGACTACCTAGACCACTGCCTGGTTGACTAACTCATAGCTAGCGTATCTTGGTAACGACCCAGACCGCTTTCACGGTACACACGCGAGGTGTCGTGGTACAGAGCTATAGAACACTGGCCTAGACAACCGCAGATATCTGAAATACATATATAGACCGTCAGGCGGCGACTGTGGGAAAATGCTAAGATTTATTACGCGATCAATAAATAAAAGTTAAGTCAAGTCTAAGGTGAAGATCTAACGCGGAGTATAATTCTCGCTGTACTACGATCTAGCGATGGGCACGCATACATCGTGTAGCATTTAAGTCCGTCATCATGTAGTATCGAGTGGAGTATTATAATATAGGTTATATTATATAGACGTATACGGTAGCAGAACAGGAGTGTTATAGGTATGCGTAATAGACAGCAGCAGTACAAAGTTCTTGCGGGAGTGTGGCCTCTTCAATCGCAGTGCATCGTTACGCATCGTCGTCACGCATATTTATTTCCACCGTGTTTTTTCTCTCTTTTCTTTCCGCCTCTCTCGCTCTCACTCTCTAACACTCTGTGTGCCGCTGCTGCTGCTGCTGCCGCCGCCGCCGTTGCTTCTGATGGGCGCCGCCGGGTGGCGCCACGTGGTGTAGATGCACATCGCGCGCATCGCTACCTCTCTGCAGCCGGATAATAAAGCGGTGAAACAGGAAGCGAACCTGAAGAGGCGCCGGAAGTCGTCGATACTCGACGACGACATGAACACGGAGGCGCTGGACTGGTGGAGCAAGTACTTCGCCTCGCTGGAGGAACTCATAGAGGTAGGACGGGGGAAGGGTAGTGGTGGGGTTGAGGGGGTGGAGGAGGACGGGTGGTGTAGAGAAGGGTGTGCGGGAGGGTGGGTGTGATAAGGTGTGGCGGAGGAGTGGTGGTAGGAGGGAAGGGTGGCTGGGGGCCAAGGGTGCTGGCGGGGGGGGGGAGAAGGAGGCAAGTACTGGTCGCTCGTTTGAAGCTGGGAGGAGCTCATATGTAGTAAGAACGGGGGAGGGGTGCGTGGGAAGGAATAGGTAGGGAAGAGGGAAGGGGCGGATGGTAGGGAAAGGATGTGGTGGGAGGAGGGGGCTGGTGGAGCGTGAGCAAGCACTTACGCTTCGCGGGAACTGATAGAGGATAGGTACGGGGGGTGGGGGGTGGGGGTGTGGTGGTGAGGGTGCTTAGTGGGGGCCGGGTGCTGGAGGGGAGGTGGTGTGGGTACTGGGGTGTTAGGAGAGGGGGGGGGGGGGTAAGTCATTATTTCCATGGCGAATAATGACAGGCAACAACTAAACGTATCTCACGGACGACACCTGTCGCCATCTCACTCACCCATACAACATGCATGTTATCATCGCCATCGATATTGCTATTGATCGATTTGATATTGATTGGGCCGATGATTGCGCTTCGAGCCTACAGTGCGGCAAGGCAAGCCCCGAGGAGGCGCCACCGGTCGACCCTCTCGACGTCGACCAAGCGAAGTCGGGCGTAAAGCTGCCGCCAGGCATACACAGCAGGAGCAAAGAGGAGGATGATAGTACACTGGACGTGGCAATAACACTAGTCAATGCTGGCACTCGATAGTCATCCCAGTTCCCTTATTGACTAGTTCGTTTCTTCGTCTGACAGCCCGTGTGTCATATATTACAGTTGGTGTACAGTATTGTTATAGTATTATATATTTATGGTTATGTTATATATATAGTAAAATATGAGTAGTATATATAATATATATATATAGTAGTTCCCTGCCTGTAGTAGGAAGAGATAGGTACGCGACACGGCATCAACCACACTGCCGGCACCGCATGTCTCGAAAGTTTCACTGTTGTGTGTAGGTGAGTGGTGCTGTTGTGTGTGTGTGTGTGTGTGGTGTGGTGTGTGTGTGTGTGCGTGTTCGTTGTGCGTGTGTGCGTGTCGGTAAAAATTGGTGCGTGCGCGTGCGCGTGTGTGTCATGCATTATATTATTGTTACACTGTGGTCACATCGTATGCCATGCATAGAAGGAAGATATAGGTACGCAACACGGCATCAATACTAGCACTGCCTGCACTCTAGCACCCCTACTGACCAGTCTGGACATTCGGCTGAGAAGCTCCTCGTTTGTCGGTCATAAGCGATCATTCGTGTTCGTGTAATTCGCGATCAAACTGCACGCTGTCACCTAACCCCGCCTTTTGTTCCCTCACACAGAGAACGGCGCCGTCGTGAGGGGAAAGGAAGCCAAGAAGATGGAGAAGGCGCTGAAGAAAGAATGGCAGATGCGACGGTGCGGCGAAACAAAGAAGCACGGATTCAAGTCGGCGGCGAACGTCATCCGGCTGGCGAAGAATCTGTCGCCGAAAGCGATACGCAAGAGGAAGCTGTGCTAGCGAGAATGACAGCCAAGGATGGTGTACGGTTGTGCGGTGCGTAGCGGAGAGGTTGTGGGAGGGTGCGTGTGTGCGCGAGGAGGGGAGGGGGGGCGCTGTCGTGCGGCGTGGGAGGGGCGTGGTGTGTGCCGTGTGTTGTGTGTGTGAGGGGGTGCGGCGCTGTTGAGGAAGGGCGTGCGCGGGAAGGCGGTGGCGCGGTGGAGATGGGCGTGTGTGGCGTGTGTGGTGTGTGTGGAGGGGTGCGTGCGTGTGTGTGGGGGAAGGGTGTGGGGAAAGGGTGTGTGTGTGGGTGGGTGTGTGTGTGGTGTGTGATGTGTGTTGTTGTCGTGTGTGTGGCGTGTTGTCGTGGTGTGTGGTGTGTTTGTGTGTGTGGTGTGTGTGTGAGGGGGTTGCGTGCGTGTGGGGGGGAGGTGTGTGTTGTTGTGTGTGTTGTGTGTGTGTGTGTGGGTGTGTGTGTGTGTGGAGGGGGTCCGTTCGGTGGTGGGGGAGGCGTGTGTGTGCGTGCGTGTGTGTGTGTGTTGTTGGTGTGGGTGCGTGGGGTCGTGTGCCGTGCGTGGTGTGTGTCGTGGTGTGTGCGCTGTGTGTGTGTGTGTGTTGCGTGCGTGTGTGGGACGGTGTGGGGGAAGGGGTGTTGTGTGTGTATAAGTGTAGTGTGTGTGTGTGTTATATGTAGTGTGTTGGTATAGAGTATGTTGTGTGGTGTGGAGTGGATGGCGTGTCCGTGTGATGGGAAGGCGTGTGTGGGGGGGGGGAAGGCGTGTTGTGCGTGGGTCGTGTGGTGTGCGTGTGTGTGCGTGGTGGTGTGTGGGAGGGTGTGGGGAGAGGGTGTGTGTGTGTCGGTGCGGCAGGGGTGCGTGTGTGCGCGTGGGAGGGGGCGCGCGCGTAGTGTGTGGTGTGTGTGTGGTGTGTGTGTGTGGTGTGTGTGTGTGTGTGTGTTGTGTGTTGTGTGTGTGTGTGGGTGGTGTTGAGAAGAGGATGCGTGCGTGTGTGGGGAAGGGCGTGCTGGGGGAAGGGTGTGGTGGGTGGTGGTGTGGGAGGGTGCGTGTGCGCTGCGCGAGGCCGCGTGTGTGTGTGCTGCGTCGTATGTGTGTGTGTGCAGTGTTGTGTGCGTGTGTGCGGTGCGTGTGTGTGTGTGTTGTGTGCACCGTGTGCTGTGTGTGTGTGTGGCATGGTGTGTGTGCGTGTGCGTGCGTGTGGTGTGTGGGTCATGTGTGGTGCTGATGTGCCGTGCATGTGTGTGTGTGTGTGTGTGCTGGCACGTGTGTGTGTTGTGGTGGTGTGGTGCAAGTTGTGTGCGCGTGCGCTGCGCTGTGTGTGTGGTGCGTGTATGTGTTGTGTGGCAGTGGGTTGTGAGTGCGTGTGTGGCGGCGTGGTGTGGTGGTGTGTCGTGTGTGTTCACGGTGTGCACGTGTGGTGTGGTGTGTGTGTGTGTGTGTGTTGTGTGTGGTGGTGTGGTATTGTGGTGAGATGAGAGAGTGTATGTGTAGTGTGCGGCGCGGCGTGTGTCCTCTCCTCACCAAAAGCAGCATACATCGGATCACCAGTACGTGTAGTGCCCTGCTTTGCGGGCCGCGAGATCGTTTCCAATGAGCATGGAAGACGGCAGCTCTCGGGTTCAGAGCGTGCTCGAAAGGGAGTCGGCTGCAAACACTGTTCGAGTTGTACCGAGGCAAGAAACGAGGCGACGAGTTTTGACGACCAGAGCAGAGTCGTCGGCACAATTCAAGGGTAGCGCTGGAGACAGGCACTCACGACTATGTCCGTGAACCGCATAGTGGTACACGAGGTGTACGTCAAACTATAACTATGCGTGATAGGTTAGGGAGTGGAAATGTAGACGAAGCGATAGGGAGAGAGAAGTGGAAAACAGGAGGGAAGGGAAGACTGCGCAAAATATAAAAAGAAAGAGGGGAAGATGGAAAGAAAGAGAGAGCGCGAAAGATAGGAGAGAAGAACGTGAGAGAGAAAAGAGCGCAGCGAGCGAGCCGAAAGAGAGAGAAAGAGGAGAGAGAGAAGAGAGAAGCAAGGAGAGAGATCTCTAGCGAGCGAACGAGCAAAATAAAGTAAAGTAAAGTAAGAAAGTATGTCAGCAAGCAAGCAATTAAGCAAGTAAGCAAGTAAGTAAGTAAATGAGTAAGCAAGCAAGCAAGCAATTAAGCAAGTAAGTAAGTAAGTAAGTAAGTAAGTAAGTAAGTAAGTAAGTAAGTAAGTCAGTAAGTAAGCGAGTAAGTATGAGTGTGCGTTGCTGTGTCATGCAGGGATCGCTGAAGGTTTACCGTATCCCGCTGCCGCCTGACATCGACGACCACACGATCATGGGTGGCGACCCTCAGTACGGCATGTTCCAAGGTCTGCCCAGCAACGACCCCGTCAAGGTCATGGTCAGAGTCTACGTTGTCAAGGTAGAATGACGCAATCGATTAACCATCCGATCAAACATTTGATTCATAAATAAACGAATAAATTAATAAAGGAATGAATAAATAAATAAATAAACGAATAGATAAATAAACGAATGAATAAATAAATAAATAAAAATAAATAAATAAATAAATTAACAAATAACCAAACAAACACTTAATCGAACGAATAAATAGATAAAAGATCTAAAAAAAATTCCAACAAACCCGTTGAGATTCACCACTCACCTTTACCACTATGCAAGCGACATGTCGCTGATTGAGATCCTGTCACCTGTGGCGCCCTCACGTGTCGCGTACCCGCAGGCGACCGACCTGCACCCTGCCGACATCAACGGCAAGGCGGACCCGTACATCGTCATACAGCTCGGCAGAACTAAGATAAGCGACAAGGAGAACTACATCTCCAAGCAACTGAACCCGGTGTTCGGCAAGTGAGTAGGCGTGGCAGTGCATTACCGTAGTGGTGCTGTAAGGGCTAACCAGGGTCAGGTACACCAGGAACCACGGGCCAGTTGTCAGAAATAAAATTAACTTAAAAATTATTATAATTAAATAATTATAAAAAGTATTAAATAAAACTAACTAAAACTTTAGAGCTTACCAATGCCGGGTATATCAGGGACGCGTTGTCAGATTTACAAATAATTTTAAATCATTACAGGCGATTTCTAATCTAAAATCGTTTTGAGCAAAATTAGTCTTAACATTATGCGCATAGACCTTTGACAAGAACTCGGCAAAGTTACGAGTTTCTCATACGAAGTATATACAGGTCCGGTATACAAGACTAAGTTCATGTTCAGACTAATCTTAACACTAATTTTGTTTCTGACAACGGGTACCGGACGTCTTTTACAGAGTTTAACATTGTTTAGTCTTTCAAGGCTACCTTCCCCGATTCCACGATAAATCTTTTTAAGCGTGCTAACTCCTATTAATTTCCCACAAACTCCTGCTGACTCTCTGCAAACTCTAAGTTTAACTAGGCACATAGACTAACACCGCGCCCTTGTGCATTGTTAAGGTGCTTTGACATTGAGGCGACCTTTCCGATGGAAAGTTCGCTGACGGTGCAGATCTACGACTGGGATCTTGTCGGATCCGACGACCTCATCGGTCAGACAACCATCGACCTTGAGAATCGCTTCTACAGCCGACATCGGGCGACGTGCGGCCTCGGCAAGACCTACGAGACGTAAGCAAAACAGAAGAACGTGCCTGTACGTCGGGAGTACAGATTCACAGATTCACAAATTTTCTTCTGAATCTAGGTCTCCTCAGAGAACCTCTACTGTCAGCTCTCGACAATTTTCCATGTTTAAATGCCCTACTGGGCTACTGGCCTAGTGGGCGAGTGAAGTGATTCACAGTTTTCACTGGCGGGGGCCGCCGCATACAAGGCTCTCTTCAGATGAGTCAGATTACGCACGTAACGCGAAAGCGGGCAAGTTTTCATCGTTATTTGGCCGTTGTTAGAGTAGACGAGATTTTTGTTACTCGATGAGCACCGTAGAATTAGGCTACAAGGAAAGTATAATTAGGCTGTAGAGATTACTATCTCACGGATACCAGTCAGTAAATGGCGAAATATAACGCAGAATATAGGAGCAAAAAGTGCCGCAACATCGATATTTTAAGTGCACGCGTGTGGAAAACACGTATAGACTAGAGAGGGGGTGTGCGCTTTCAGAAACATCACGAGTAGCTGTGACATCACAACTCTAAAAAGTCTTCTAAAGTAAAGTTTCCATGCTAAACTCACGACGTTTTATACACGCATGACACTAATAACTACACTCATATTATTTCTGACAACGTGTTTCGCGCGGAGTTTCCTCTACCTCCATTCACCGGCGTCTCTCCCTATATATATATATATATATATATATATATATATTATATCTACCGTCGCCCGTGTTCTCGCAGGTCCGGCTACAACATGTGGCGAGACCCGATGAAGCCAGTACAGATTCTCGGGAAGCTGTGTAAGGAAGGCAAGCTGGACGGACCTCACTTCCAACGCGACCGCGTGCGCATCGCTAACCGCATCTTTACGATCGAGCAGACGGAGCAGCAGCACGAGGACGAGGAGTGTGAGTCATCATCCGCCATTGCTGCCATTTATTCCATAGATTATTGCCCTACTGCCTCCTACTGCCTGCTTGATATTCTCGCTAGGTTACCTTACAGTTCCCATCGCTTGCTTAACGTTTAACCTACTGTTCTATCATTGTGTTGCTAGACTATTCTACTGCTGCCCTCGCTAACTTACTCTACTGTTGTTCCATTTCCTCGCTAGGGTACTATCTTCTTGCTAGATTACGCTACTGTTCCCCTCGCTAACTTACTCTACTGTTCTTTCATCTTCTTGCTAGATTACATATCTCTATTATCTACCTAGTATTCGTCCAGATATACGTGTGTGAAAGTAGGCAACTCTAATGCCATCTTCTCGCTATCTCACTCTACTGTTCTACCATCTTCTTGCTAGATTTCCATCTCTCTTATCTACCTAGTACTCATATAAATATATACGTGCGTGTGAGTAGAGGACCTAGTCAACTCCACAATCAATGTCATCGCCTCGCTAACTTACCCTCCTGTTCCTCCATATGGATATACGTGAGTGTAAGTAACCAACACTACCACTAGATACTATTTTGCCCTTCGCTCTTAATACATGAGACTATGATATATAGTATATATGAGACGGATATAGACTAAAAATAATGATAACTCTTCTTACGTTTGTATCTAGTCTCTAAGAAGGATATGGAGGAGCACCTTGCTCTCGCTGCCTTGCACCACTGGGAGGAAATACCGAAAGTCGGCTGCAAGCTCGTACCTGAACACGTCGAGACGCGCGCCCTCTATAATCCGGACAAGATCGGCATCGAGCAGGTCTGTCGGTCGATATAGAAAGTGAGAGTGCGAGAGAGAAAATGGAGATAGAGAGAGAGTGCGAAAGAGAGAGAAAGAGAGAAAGAGAGAAAGAGAGAGAGAATCAGAGAGAAGGGGAAGAAAGTCACAGATAGGCTGAAATTGTTCGCAGACCTATAGAAGCTTCTCGGTGACATAGTAATCACTGTGTATCTGCATAGTTGTGAATTAACACTCGCGGAAGATGTTCAAAAAGACTTCAAAGCGGGTTAAGTTGAAAAAGATTATACAGGTTGAAAACATATATTCGTGTGCGCGGTTAGAATATATACGATCAAGAGCGTATAAAGAAGCCTATATAAGAGCCTGTATAAGAGCCTTCTTTATACGCTCTTGATACGATGATGATGTGACCTTTATGTGACCTTTATCGGATCGTTATGTGATAAAGGAGCAGCTATAACTTCATAATGTATGAGAGCCAGAAAGAGTAATCTCATGTGCCTTACAGGGTAAGCTGGAGATGTGGGTGGAGATGTTTCCCATGGACATGCCTAGTCCTGGACCAGCCGTGGAAATCGCACCTCGCAAACCCAAGAGGTGAGAACGAGGGAAAGCCTATATCCTATATAGTAGGTCAAAATAGAGAGATCGCATCGTAAGATGTAACTTCACGTGACGCGTTCGTGCATATGTGTGCGTGCGTGCGTGTGTGCGTATGTGTTCGTGTTGTGCGGACACCCGTGTGTGTGTGTGCGTGGCTGCTTATGTGCGTGTGTGCGTGCTTGCGTGTGTGCGTGCGTACACGCGTGTGGTGTGCGTGCATGTCCGCGCGTATCCCTGCTTACGTCCATGCGTGTGTCTTTGCGCAATAAATACACTGACAGATTAAGCACACCGCAGAATATCATTATACCAGGCGTATAAGGCGCCATGTAACAAGATAATGATAATAGAAGGTGGCAACATGTGTTGATTATCAGACACCTAACTACTGTGCTGATTGCGTGCGTGCGTGCGCGTGCGTGCGTGCTTGCAGCTACGAGTTACGGGTGATCATCTGGAACACAGACGAGGTCGTCCTTGAGGACGACGCCTTCTTCAGCGGAGAGAAGATGAGCGACATCTACGTGAAGGGGTGAGAAGCAATTAATGTTAGGAGGAAATTTGCTAGGATTTTTCTCCCTGTGTTCACGTACCCTACTTACAAAAAGTATCCTTACTTTTTGTGTCCATTTACCCTACTAGCAGCATGTAGCCATACTCTGTTTCCAATTTCCCTACCCAAAACATGTAGCCATACTTTTCGTTCGTCCCCTTGCGCAAGTGGATCAAAGGTCCACTATACCTTACTCACAACATGTAGCCATACTCTCGGTGTATACCTATCCTATGCACAGATTATAGCTCTATTCGTTCTTTCTACGTCCCCTACCCATAGTTTTGGCCATTCCCGTTCTGTCCACGTATCCTACCCACAGATTATAGCCATATTCTTTGTTTGTCGCTCCTTTCGCGCAGGTGGATCAAGGGTCTCCTTACCCTACTCACCACATGTAGACATACTCTATATATCCACTATACCCTACTCACCACATGTAGACATACTCTATATATCCACTATACCCTACTCACAACATGTAGACATACTCTATATATCCACTATACTCTACTCACCACATGTAGACGTACTCTCTGTATCCACATACCCTACTAACTAATATTTCGGCCCCCTCCACCTTTCCGCAGGTGGATCAAAGGTCCCGAGGACACACAGAGCACTGACATCCACTACCGCTCGCTAACGGGCGAGGGCAACTTCAACTGGCGATTCGTCTTTCCCTTCGACTACCTGGTCGCCGAGGAGAAGATCGTTATCTCACGCAAGGAGTCGCTGTTCTCGTGGGACGAGACGGAGACGAAGGTGCCGGCGCGCATGCACATGCAGGTGTGGGACGCCGACCACTTCTCCGCCGACGACTTTCTAGGTAGGCTTCCGGTGAATTGTGCTCTGTGTATATATATATATATATATATATATATATATATATTATATATATATATCTATATTAGCAGTCTCCTAGCCCTTTGTGGTAGTGTGTGATGTGTGCTTAACTTTTGTTACTCAGGTGTGTCTACTCCCTACCACCACCCCACACATATATAATGTCGTAAAATCAAATTAAAACATCGTAGCTTCATCACTACCCTTTACGAGAATCAACGTGACTTATACGTAAAGCGGCATGTGTTTTGCTTCTCTTTTTACCGCCGTTGTTCTCTTCTCTACAGGCGCGTTCACGATGGATCTGAATAGATTCCCGCGCGGCGCCAAGTCTGCGAAGCTGTGTACGCTGAACATGCTGAAGACGGACGGTAGTGTACCTATGATGTCCATCTTCAAGCAGAGGCGCGTCAAGGGCTGGTGGCCATTCTACATCAAGAAGGAGAACGACGAGTTAGAACTCACCGTATGTATCAATGTATTTGCGTTAATCGTATTCACATCATGTTACCCGCTCCGCCCCACACCCACACACATACGCACTCACACACATACGCACTCACACACATACGCACTCACACACACACCCACACCCACACACATACGCACTCACACACATACGCACTCACACACATACACACCCACACACACATACACACACACCACACGCGCGACATATACACACCCACACACACACACGCACGAACCCCACCCCCCACACACACACACACACACACACACACACAACACACACCGACAACACACACACACACACACACACACACACACACACACACACACACATCACACCCCCCCCCCACACACACACGTACGCACACACACAACACACACACACACCACACACACACACACAACACACACACACACGTTACACACACAACGCACTCACACACATACGCACTCACCACACACACAACACACACACACACACACCACACACACACACACACACACACACACACACACACACACACACACACACACACACACACACACACACACACACACACATATGCACTCGCACACATGCACGCGCGCACACACACTCGAAGTTACGTCACATGCAGGAAGTGACGTCGCACTAGTTGATAACGTGGCGCACATATCAACTATCGAATATCGAACGATTTTCAAATCGATCAATACGAAATCAATGATCGATGGAGAGGCAGGAGCGTGTGTATCTCGCGTGAACCGAGTGACAACTCTCTGTGTTCGGCGACGCTTGCAGGGGAAGGTGGAGGCAGAGATGCATCTGCTCACGGAGGAAGAAGCTGAGAAGAGTCCTGCTGGGCTGGGCAGGAACGAACCCGAACCTCTCGACAAGCCAAAGTAAGAGAAAGTCTCCAATAATCTAAGAATCTAAGAGTTCCCAATATCGACGCTCTGTGTGTGATCTCTTGACATCTTGATGAGTGATGAGAAAAATGGATATTTAGTTATCGGGGGTGGGGGGATTAGACCATTTTAATTATCGGGGAACCTGGGAATACCGGATAAAGCGTTCGTGATTTGAGAATAGAAGTGATTTTAATTAACCGCCGAAATTGTGATTTTAATTAACCGGGATCTGGGAAATTGATTGAAAGAGTGACTGGTAGAGTTATGTTTTAAAAGTCGAGTTTTTTTATATGACGTTATGAAATGTTTGTGTCGTCTGCGTAACTCCGTCTGTTCTTGTGTTTCCACAGTCGACCCGATTCCAGTTTCATCTGGTTCCTTAATCCTCTCAAGTCCATCAGATACATCCTGTGGCACAACTATCGTTGGATGATCATAAAGGTAAGTGAGATAGACGAACGTATGTATGACGGATGTATGGCAAAATAATAAAATGTCTTACCCAGATTACGATACCTTGAAGAGTGATTGCACAACGGTGTCTAGCTAACATGTTATGTACTAACGTCCTGATCATGTGTAGAGTAGGTATGACCTGTACAAAACAGTGAAATCGTCATGTTTGTGTGTAGATCGCCTGCGCAGAAAGTGATGACGTCACAGTCATGCGTTAACGGCACACAACGTTTGGTGTTCATAATGAAGATCCGCATAGGGTGTCCGCTCACGTTTCCAAAGCTCTGCGTCACTCTTGCACCTGCTTTGCGTTTCAGGTGATACTGGTCCTCTTGCTGGCCGTACTTCTCGGCCTCTTCTTCTACTCCATGCCCGGATATACAGTCAAGAAGATAATGGGCGCCTAGGACCGTTGCCATGGCAACGATGCAGCCCTCAGCCTCTCATCGCAATGTTGCCCCCGGGGAGCAAAAATGGCGTTGTTACTGTTTCGCGTGCTGTAGGAATGTCGGAGCATTTTTTCGCTAGTAACCAAAGTTATTTCAACGTTATCTATAGTATATATATAATATTTTAAAATAGCTATTCGGGGGAGAAAAGAATGAAACTCGGAAGGGGGTCTGTTAAACCCTGGAATCGCGTATCATGTGGATGTGAGGGTTGTCATGAAATACATTCCCAGGTATCATTACGTGCTGAACCGTGGAGTACATGCACGTATCAGGGGGACCATAGCTGTGTGTGGGGGAACCATAGATTGCACACACGTATCATGGGGGTGTGCAGGACACAGTGGGATGCACCCACGCATCATGCATGTGACACGGAGGACCATGTAATACACTCACCTATATCGTCGACATATATAAATATATCTAGACACAATTTCTTGCTATAGGTTAGTTGCATGTTAAGAAGCTGTAGCTAGCACGCTTCGTTATTCATATTTTAGTGTTTCGTTTGCGTATAGGTGTTTAGTTCGCGGCATAACAAAATGGCGGGATGGCTCTCACGAAACACGTCTGCTAGTGGTAATCAAATAACGAATGACGTATAGGTAGGCTCGCGCAGCACAAATAGAAGCTACTACAACTGCAATCAAATTACGCAATAAATGCACGTATAAAAAGATATTAGCATTTATCGGTCAATGAAACATCCTCATGGATGTGGGGAATATCGGGGGAAAAGGGTGTGGCGGGGGGAAAGGGTGTGGGGGGGCCTGTGTCACCTACAGCAAGATGGCGGCATGACCTTGACCTGTGACGTACACGAGGTCATAAAACGTTGGCACGCCTGTCCTGCCTTTTCTGATGAAAAAGCGTGTAAACTTTAAACGTGGTCATTACAATAGAAAGAGAGTCCGCGAATGTGACGAATTGGAAAACTAAAATGTCGCAGCGGCAGCGCTGGACGACGAATACTATTACTACTACTAATAATAAGATTGCAGTGCCAAAATAACGCAAAATAAGTACAAAAGTTAAAAGCCAAATATATCGCACCCCCATTATGATTTGCTTTCAGCGTGAGATCAATGATATGACTAAATACTTATATAATCAGGAGGTAGGCAGAGTAGACTATAGTAGTAAATAGCAGTACAAAGACGAGTGTATATTCATGTACTATATATACATATGTGTATAATATATAGAGAAACGATTTCTGATGCATGGTTGTGGATGGTGCATGTAGCATGACCGGACGAGAGGAGAAATGAGGAGTCGGGGGTGTGAAAGAAGGAACCGGCGATCGTTAGATCCCGATAGATGGCGCCACCCGCGGATCGTATCGGGTGACGTGCGTGCGTGTGTGATGACCACTATAATTATACTGTGATCTGTGATATATGATGGGTCGAAGATATGGCAGAGTCATGCAGAGCGCTTAGCGTGCAGAATCAACACCTCTCAGGCGACGCTTCTCTGGTATCTGGTCTCTCATCTGGATAATGGGTAACGGGGGGAGGATAAATGAGTAACCACCAATTCTCGCACGCGTCCGCTCGCTGCTGTCACCAGATAGCGCTGTGCCCGGTTGCGTGGGTGCGCATCAGTGACGTCACGCCGGCAGACGACGCGGAACGAGAGCGCGTTAAGTTCTGCATCACGATCAGATGTGTTTCTGCCCACGCACGCCGCTTCCGCATATATATATATACGACGGCCGATAGACGGAGCGTCCTGTAATAGTACATGTGTACTGCTGGGGAGGCGGAACCGTTATCAGAAATATCATCAGTCTAGACGTTATAAATAGTTGTAAATTTACGATGTTTCTGACAACAGCCTGCCTTCCTTGTACTATCGCAGTCTTTTCGTGGTAGAGGGTCCCGCGTGGGGGTGCGGCAGCACACGTGCGAGTTTGTACGTGAAGTCCGAGGGGGGAGGTTACTCGTGGGTGGTATCAGGGTACCTGGGCCCCGTCGTCTGTGCCTGCCGGGAGAGGCCCGTGAGTCGAACAGGAAGAATCACGTCAGCGTTTTCGAGGCTGTAATTTATTGATGCACTTTTTAAAGTTTTATTATTATTAGCACCTTACGTGTGTAACGCACTGACGCATGAACACGCACGCGCGCGCAGACGCACACGCATCGGCGCACGCATGCGCACAGACATGTACACGGACACGCGCGCTTAAACGGCACATACACGTTCGCGCGCGCCCGCACGCACGCGCACACACCCTCGCGCGCGCACGCCCACTTAACATAAGCATTTACGCAGTTGTACACAACCACCCCGCGCGCGTACACACGCGTATAATTATAAATAGTTATATATATATACATACATAGATAGATAAATATATAGAGAAATATAGAAACATGATAGCTCGCATTGTATATATGCCATCGGTAAGCGTAGAAATTTTATTTTTGGCTAATAATATAGCAGCACGATGTATACGTACTATGCGATAGTCTAGTTCCTTTACGATCACACAGCCGCTTGTATGTATGAGCCTTCAATTTCCAGCCAGTGGTGTAGAGCCTTAGTTTGCAGCTAATATTTACGAATGATCTACTCTTATAGTCTTGCATTCCAATTGATATCATGTCGGCTTTGTAATATACCAAGAGCATCTGTATATATACTGCCTCTCTATTTCTTTCTCGCTCTCTCTCTCTCTCTCTCTCTCTCTCTCTCTCTCTCTCTCTCTCTCTCTCTCTCTCTCTCTCTTTCTCTCGCAATTTTTTTCTTTCGCTCTTTCTTTCTCTCGCTATCTCTTTCTTTCGCTCTCTCTCTCTTTCTTTCTCGCTCTCTCTCTCTCTCTCTCTCTCTCTCTCTCTCTCTCTCTCTCTCTCTCTCTCTCTCTCTCTCTCTCTCTTTCTCTCGCTATCTCGTTCTTTCGCTTTCTCTCTCTCTCTCTCTCTTTCTCTCTCTCTCTCTTTCTTTCTTTCTCTCTTTTCTCTGCTTCTCTCTCTTTCTCTCGCTATCTCTTTCTTTCGCCCTCTCTCTCTCTCTCACTCTCTCTCTATCCCCGAAATATTTGTTATCTATTTGTTATCCCATCTAGATGTAGCTGTTAGTAGTTGATCACAGTTTCAATGTTAACTTAATCGAGAGCGATAAGCATCGAACTAAAAGCGGCAATAAAAAAATAAAATAAAATAATAATAATGTCGACAAAACGTAGAACACATATCGTAAATATCGATGTGAAGGCGTCGTAAGCGAAGCCTAACGATAGGTTTATAGTTTTCCAATACGATCTATGATCGGTCTGCGGGCACCTCTAAACCTCTCGACATCTCACATGAATAGGGGAGGGCGCATTTCCCTGCTGGTACTGTTTACGATTGGTGCCCGAAAGATGTTGGTGCGCCTGCGGTAAAGTTACGGTCTCGTCTGCGACCAGACACAGGGTAGACCTTAGCTAGCAGTTCGGTGGTCAGGAATTCTACGTATTGTCTGTGACAGCGATCGATGTAGGATGGGGTGGAATGGTTGGGGTTACTCTCCAGCATCCCCATGTCATTTGTTAACTTAATTTATTATAAATTATACAGTTATTTTAAATTATTCATTTATTTATTGTTTGGTTGTTTTGTTTTTTTGTTTATTTATTCATTACCTGCACTCTAATACAACAGACTTGAGTTTATCAAAATTTTTGTTACCCCTTCGAGAAACCTTTTAGAATGTATAGAATGTATAATTTGGTTTCCCCGCCATTCTATGTAATAGATACATCAGCATAGGCACACCCTCTTTTAGAGAGGCGATCTTCGTAGTGAAGAGCACACAGTCAGTTGTATATAGTAAGAAAAAAACATATATGAATATATATCTGGGATCTGCATCCGTATTGTTTTATCTGTATATTACTGGCGCGCGCGCGCGTGCGTGCGTGTGTGCGTGCGTGTGTGC